TCATATGGATTTTTCGTATTGTTGCAAGGTAGATTTATACACTAAACACTAAGAAACGTCTATATAATAGATTCGTACAAACCCTGCAAATTCATTCAGCATTTCCAATGTCAGAGGTAATGTCAGAATAAACTTCATTTCATTCGGACACACAATTAAGAAGTTTTTCAGCAATCCTCCATTTTGTATCAAGGATGTTCGTAGTACGACGACACATTCTCCATTCTCATTGAAAATGGTCACTTCGTGAAAGTTAAATCGTTGTTCTTTCACGTTTGACATCTTATTTCGCTTCTTGCAATAATACGTGTATTAGGGAAAACTCGTACAAATAATAAAGAATATTCTCCGAATCTCTCAAATTTTAGTCAACGATTAACTTTCTCAATACTTGACACTCAAAACGAACACTTTTTTAAGTTACGTTCACCGGAATAGAAACGGTTACGTCAATCATGTGTTAGTTTTTATGCAAATGAGTTTACTAAATAACTGATACTGAACACTTTTGGAAAATATTAATATACGTAAATATTTATTGTGTTCAATTTTCCTAATTATTCGCTTATTTGATCATGTGAATTTCATAAGACATTTTAATAAATCGTAAATTTAAGTAAAATAAATTCTAGAGCTTTTTCTGAATTTCGTGCATGTCACTCAATAAATTTAGTTTTAAATGATGCTGGCAAAGTAACAGTTAATTTTTTAATATTGTACATAAGTTGTACACGTTTTTTTTCCTGCATCCCTATATCCCGTAACTATATACCTTAGACATAAGCAGAATATTTCATCGTTTTTTTTATTTTATTTTACATAGTAATTTTTAATTCGTCTTCTATTTTTTAAATAAATTCGTCATTTTCGATCTTTTAAATAAACATTCCACTTACATGGATCATGTTTAGATTACAATGTAAACATAATTACAGTGTAATTGTTGTATTTTACTTCGGAATATGTTTCTAAGACTAAACAATGTGTTTAGTCAAATTATTTAATTAAAAAAATTACAGTCTAATTAAATTTATTTGTCCTAATTAATGTAAATTTTCGTTATTATTTTGTTTGTTTTTGTATTAAGTTATGTTTTTATATATTTGTTATTCATCGTTTTCTGTATTTTTTTTTACATTTTTATTCAACTTTGTTAATTAATTTACAAAATATAATAGTAAGATATATTGTAAACAAAAACACGTGTTTCTGCGGTGACGTGGCAGGTGACGTGACGCCATTCTATTTCCGGTGACTTTCCTATGACCTAGAAGCTAAGAAATAAAAATAATTTAAATATATTAAATGCCTTCTATTATTTAAGTGCATTATTTTAATAAATAAATTCATTTTTTATTGTTTATTTATTTACCATTAATTAAATTTAAATATATTAAATTAATAAAACTTTTATTATTATAATTATAAAATTCATCAGAGTTATCATAAAAAAAATATAGATAATACTTTCTAATTATTACTGTGTAATAGTTCATAACTTAAAATAAATCTAGCTGAGTTAATTAGTTAAGAAAATAATAATCTAATAATAACGGAAATACTTTGTCAACTCGACCTGTTTATCAGAAATGTAAGAAATTCTCTTCAAAACTGTATATTAAAAAGTCTTGAATATTATTAATATTTTAATTAAAATATTGTCTTGCCACTTGAAATGGCCGAAACGACTGCAAATAGGAAAAAAAACAACAAAATAGATCACGATTATTTATAGCAAATGCAATGCTTCTGTCATATTTATAGTCGTTCAAATCGAGTTTAAAATGTTGAGTAGTATAATTAACTTATTATATATTTGTGGACATTAATTATTAACAGGACAATTATACTGGTGTTAAGCTTTATACTCATAAATTGAAGAAAAAGTTCTTAAGGAAAACAGACTTTCTTTATTAAGCTACCTGTACACATACAATAGTTGACATCTGCGTTTCGGTCTATCATGCCCTTCATCAGCAGGATTATGGTTATAAAATTTAAGATATACATCATCCAATTACCGACAATAATTTGTATTTAATTTTATACTGCTTCAAAATCCTTTACAATTTTATATCAAATTATACAATACTCAAAAGTATTATATAATTTTCCAGTTTGTCATTTCTGTCCTACAGTAATAATANGATTTAGAAACATACAGAATCATTCAGGCGAATTGTTGGATCAACCAAGTGAGGAAGAACAGGCCAGTGAACAAGGAGAAAACATGGATAGTGGTAGTGAGGAAAAGGACACAGAGAATGAGCAGTTGGAAAATCAGGAGGTGAGCGGCAATGAGGCTACAGACTTGACAACTCGATCAGGCCGGGTGATCTGTAGGCCATCGCGCTTCAAAGACTTTGTGTAAGAAAGGGAGATGTAATATGTATTATATTAAAATGTTAAAATGTAAAATATTAATGAGTCCGCCAGGTGGCGATCGTTCACATCACGATGCATCACGGGAACGGTACCTGAGCGCTCACTTTGGTTGTAACCTCGAGACAATAAACATAACAGTAAGAAATAACAAAAACACAGTAAATTAATCATTTTGGTATTTAGATTTAATGTTATCGGGTTAGTGTTGTTTGTTTATATTTATTTATAACTTATAACATGCGCAAAATAAAAAAGAAAATATTAGTCACATGTATTCACAATTTATAATTACAAAGATCAGCACACTACACACCTATTCGTTCGAGAATCGTCGCACATCTGAGATCTGACCCTGCATATCCTTCTTTTTAAGCGCTTGTCTTTGCACTTCCCTGTCTCTTTCCTCTATCGCTCTAGTTCACGTATGCCTATGCATATATCATAATACGCGCTCACGATACTTTCTATTCGTCACTTTTCCGTCGTAGTTTTTTTCCATTTTACAATTACGTGACTCATGGCTTGGTGATAACGGAGAAAAGAGACAGATAGGACGTCGGTAAAAGTCACAGTTATGATTTCACAGATTAGAGACAGTTTGGTAGCCCGAACGGTCCCAGGCTTTCGCCCTTGCACGCTAAGTGACTTTCATTACAAGCATTTAGCTTTTCAAAATCTATGACAACAATTGTTTGCCATTGACGGCCGCGAATTTCGTGCCAATAGGCTACCTCGACTTGTTCGACTATGTTATCAATTCAATTTCATATTTATTTTCACATCTTCACTTCGCGGTCCTTCTCTCTTCTTTTCCATTATTTACACGTGTAGGTCGTTTCATTGTTATCCACATTTGATATCATCATTTATCACATACTGCCATGACGCT